TTGCCAGCCAATCAAGATACAAAAAGAGCCAAAAAACAGACAGAAGATATTAGAAACACCAATCAAGCAGAACACAGCAAACTCCAAGACCAATAAACACAGACCAAGACTCCCAACCAATCAGGATGAAGAAAAAACCATTCTGGCACAGCAATAGGCTGCCCCAAATTTAAATCTGAAACCACTATAAAAGTTTGACTCGCAGATGAACACTATATAGAAGCCTGATGTTGACAGATGAGATTCTGCCGAAATGTTGCTACAACTTTAAAAGCACAACTACCATGACGTGGGAAAATACCCGAACAAAGCTGAATGCCATACATGTAAGTACCCGCGAAAAGTTAAGAATATATTTTTTTTACTACCAGTTCTGTGGGTGTGGCTTGGTGGGTGTGGCAGGGGAAGGATACTGTAAAACCTCCAATCAGAAGTCGGTTCTCTGAACTACTCAAAATTTCTGCTACCGGTTCTCCAGAACTGGTCAGAACCTGCTGAATACCACCTCTGATTTATACCGTCTCTTGGGCCTTGCCCTACAGCTTCCTGTTCCTGTGCAAGAAATGTATCCTATTGGTTGTCAGACTCCCAGGGGGCTATGTGGGGGTCCAGCTAACCTTGTAGGCTGCCTGCATCCCAGGCTTGGTTGAATCTTCCTGGGTGATGAGGTAATGAAGAGGGTTGTGTTCTGAAAGGGTGTTCATTCTTCTAGGAGGGGGGGGGGTGCTAAGTTTTTTCACTGCTCTCAGGTGCCCTGGATTCTTTTTTTGTGGCAGACCCTCAGATGTTCTCCTATAAGTAGCGGGCTTCTACCAGTTTCACAACCGGTTTGGTGAGCATGTGCTACAACTTACTTTCCACTGCAACACCAGTGAGTAAAACAGCTGAGGCACGGTAATCCTCGGTGCCGCGCCTAAGCTGAGCTTCAAAACTGCAGAAATAAAGGACAGGCTAGAGCAGGGGCAGGTGGGTGGGGCCAACCAATCGCCGGAGCAAAGGGTTCACCCGAACCTGTGTGAACTCTGAGCAGCCCACCCAGTGGTGGGATTCAATTTTTTTTTTACTACTGGTTCTGTGGGCGTGGCAGGAGAAGGATACTGTAAAATCTCTAGTCAGAGGTGGGATTTGCCGGTTCTTCAAACTACTCAAAATTTCCGTTACCGGTTCTCTAGAACTGGTCAGAAATGGCTGAATATTACCTCTGAGCCCACCCCTGACTCCTATTATATCACCTTTTGTCCTTCTCTTTGTTAGGCTACACATACCCAATTCCAGCAACTGTTCTTCATATGTTTTAGCCTCCAATCCCCTAATCATCTTTGTTCTTCTTCTCTGCACTCTTTCTAGAGTCTCCACATCTTTTTCACATCATGGCAACCAAAACTGGATGTGCTATTCCAAGTGTGGCCTTACCAAGACATTATAAAGTGGTACTAACACTTCCCTTGATCTTGATTGCATTCCTCTGTTTATGCAGCCTAGAACTGCATTGGCTTTTTTGGCTGCTGCTGCATACTGCTGGCTCATATTTAAGTGACTATCCACTAGGACTCCAAGAACCCTCTCACAGTTACTACTGTTGAGAAAGATACCACGTATACGGTACCTATGCATTTTGCTTTTCTTGCCTGAATGTAGGCCCTTACTTTTTTCACCATTGAATTTCATTTTGTTAGGTAGTGCCCAATGTTCAAGATCCTTCTGTTTTTTAGGCCTATCTTAAGAGATTGGATAACCATTTGTCTGAAATGGTGGTAGGGTTTCTTGCCTAAGCAGGGGGTGGGACTAGAAGACCTCCAAAGTCCCTTCCAACTATTCTATTCTATTCTATTCTATTCTATTCTATTCTATTCTATTCTATTCTATTCTATTCCATTCCATTCCATTCCATTCATATTCTTTTCTATTCCATTCCTATTCCTATTCCTATTCCTATTCCTTTCCATTCCATTCCATTCCTATTCCTATTCCTTTCCATTCCATTCATATTCCTTTCTATTCCATTCCATTCCTATTCCTGTTCCTATTCCTATTCCATTCCTATTCCTTTCTATTCCATTCCTATTCCTATTCCTATTCCATTCCTATTCCTATTCCTATTCCATTCCTATTCCTATTCCTATTCCTATTCCTATTCCTATTCCTATTCCTATTCCTATTCCTATTCCTATTCCTATTCCATTCCTATTCCTATTCCTATTCCTATTCCTTTCTATTCCTATTCCTATTCCTTTCTATTCCTATTCCTATTCCTATTCCTATTCCTATTCCTATTCCTATTCCTATTCCTTTCTATTCCTATTCCTTTCTATTCCATTCCATTCCATTCCATTCTATTCTAAATGTTTCTTTCTTTCCACCTTGTCTAAACCGTTATTTATAAGATAAGACGCTAGCCAACTCGCCTTCTATCTTTTCCTCATACCCTGGCCTCAACAGAGACTGTGACTCTAGAACAGATCCAAAAGTGTTTTGTTTTGTTTTTGTATTTTCAAGAGGCAACTGGACTTTCTGGTTTTTCTTTGAAGAAGTTTTGCTTCTCCTCCAAGAAGCTTCTTCAGCTCTGACTGGATGGTGGGAGCACCTTTGGGACAACTGTGATCTGGATGACTGAGAATCTCCATAGACACTCCAGGACAGACTTTTTGTAAATATCCCCCCCCATGTCTACCCTGAAGTGAAGAATTTAGTCTGTGGCAAAACCGAAATCCTATGGATCTATAAAACAAACACCCCTTGCAGGCATCTCATAGAAACGGTGAAAGTGATGCAACTCCGGGTGTTTCTTGCAAATCATACGATTGCATCACAGTGAACATTTCCTCATTGGTCTCCCTGCTCATGATCCACCTCCTCTCATCTCTTCCCAAAAAATGAACTGTAATACTGAGGTTGACTCCAAATTAGGCAATTCTTAGATCCTGGCAAGGACTCAGTGGTGGCCGTGACCTGAACGCTTTGTGTACTTGGATAATGATTTTTTCCAACCTCTGTTCATTACACCAGTGGCCCCCAACCTTTTTTGTGTCACGGCCCGATACCGGCATCACAAAATGATCCACGGCCCAGTACCGGCATCAGCACGCATGACAAGGCAAGGCGAGCCGAGCGACCGGTCAGCCAGCCGTCCCCCGCTTCTCCCCGCCACCTTCAACTCCTCCTTTGTACCTTTGTCGATGGGCTTTGGGACGGCTTCAGGACGGTCGCTCGGCTCGCCTTGCCTTGGGTGCTGAAAGAATCCTCGCGCCTTAGTTTCGTTCGAAGCCCCCCCCCCCCTTCGATGAAACTAAGGCGCGAGGATTCCTTCAGGACCCAAACGCCGCTTTCCAGCTCACCCGGAAGCACTTTCTCATTGAAACAAGATGGCGGCGCCCAGCAAACCGGCGGCCCGGTAGAAAATGTTCCACGGACCGGTACCGGTCTGGGGCCCGGTGGTTGGGGACCCCTGCATTATACCATTTCCTGATAGTCTCGGGGCAAGCGTTTTGAAATCCCTCCTCTCCTGTACTGAGATATTATTTGACTCTGGAGAAACTGTAATAGCAAAAATGTAAACAGTTCAGTCACTGCCATGCCATAACAGCTGGTCCTCGACTTATGACAACTGTGCCCAAAATTTTTGTTGCTAAGCGTGACAGTTGTTAAGTGAACTTTAATCCCAGTTTGAAAAATACTTACCAATGAGTTTGACAGAAGGGCCTTTTTCGGAGAAAGATTGGAGTTGTTGGCTTCCATGGCCAAATATGGGCCATGGAATCACCTGCCACACCTCGAAAGGACATGCAGAAAATGCCTCAGCCATTAAATATACTGCTCATACCTGCTCAATCCTCAACTTATAATTGTTTGTTTAGTGACTGTTCAAAATTACGATGGCACTGAAAAAGTGGTTGTTCACAGTTATGACCGTTGCAGCCTCCTCATGGTCACATGGTCAAAATTCAGACCTTGGCAATTGACTCCTATTTATGACGTGTCCACAGGGGTCATGTGATCACCTTTGGCAAACACCTGGCAAGCAAAGTCAGTGGGGGAGCCAGTTTCACTTAACAACTGCAGTGATTCACTTAACAACTGTGGAAAGAAAGGGTATAAAATAGGGCAAAATTCACTTTATCAAAGTCTCCCTTAGCCACAGAAATTTTGGGCTCAGTTGTGGTCGTAAGTCGAGTACTATCTGTCTTGTATTGTCTTTCATCTGAATTAGATGCTACGTTTTATTCTATTTTTTTTAATCTTTTGATATTGTCATAAGACAAACAAGTGAATAAACTACTGTTGCTATCTACAGAGGGCTCATTGTCCCCAAGCAGTCATCATCTTGATTTTTTTTCTGCGTAGAAACTAAACCCAACCATTCCAACATAGGAGATAAAAGCAAAGGATAACACATATCACATTTATTGTTTTGTTTATACAGTTGCATCAGACATGGCCATTGTTAACACAGACTTTACTTGGCAAGGTTCGAAGAGAATGATTTCTATTTACATAGAGCATCTGGGAAGAGAATGTGTCTAGATGAACTCCAGGTCCTCTTTAGCCAGCTCTTTCTTGAGCCACGGGATAATTTTGAAGAGGTTGAGGTGGTAATCCCTGGCATAGGAGGGTTTGTGCCTCTGCAATTTGTCGGGTTCATCACAAATCGTAATGTGATGACCGCAGACATCAGTCACACCCCAGCTAATGACGCCAACCTACAGAAGGTAGAGATAGAAAAACGCGAGAAACTCAATCCTGGGGTCTCACAGCTTTCATTGAAGGAAAACCAACGTCAGATAAAGGAAGGAGGAAAGAAAAAAAACCTCTTATGTGAGGTTTCTGACCAGTTCTGGAGAACCCGTAGCGGAAATTTTGAGTAGTTCGAAGAACCAGCAAATCCCACCTTTGACTGGCCCCGCCCCCATCTCTTCTCTGCTTCCCAAGTCCCAGCTGATTGGCTGGGTCTTCTTTGGTTGCCCTGCACAGGAGAATGGAGCTGGAAAGCAGGTTAATGGGGTGGGGAGGGAATGGGGATTTTGCAGTATCCTTCCCCCAGGAGTGGGTAGGGAATGGAGATTTTACAGATTTTACAGTATCCTTCCCCTGCCATGCCCACCAAGCCACGCCCACCAAGCCAAGCCACGCCCACAGAACCAGTAGTAAAAAGATTTGAATCCCACCATTCTGATGAAATTATGTAAAATAAATGAACATCTCCGTTCCATCTGAAGACATGCGGCCAACTTACACATGGCAGAAAAATAATATGTCAGGAGGTGTCAAACTCAATTTCATGGAGGGCCGCATCAGGACTGTGGTTGACCTCAAGGGGGCTGGGCAGGTGTGGCTGACTGGGTGGGTGTGGCCAACTGGGTGGGTGTGGCCAGCTTGATGCCACTCTCCAAACTGCTGGCATGTTTCCTTTCCACACTGGGTAGACTGGGACGAAGCTACGGTGGCCTGATCTTTCCTCCTCGCATTGGGTAGACCAGGACAGCCCCACAGGCTGCATCTGACCACATTGCGGCCCACATGTGGCCTGTGGGCCTTGAGTTTGATACCCAGGTAATATGTCTATGGAGATTCTCGGTCATCCAGGTTGTCACAAAGGTGCTTTTTCCCCCAAGAGGCAACTGGACTTTGTTTTTTTTTTCTTGAAGACGTTTCACTTCTCATCCAAGAAGCTTCTTCAGTTCATTTCTGTTCATTTCAAGAAGAGAGAAAGCTTCTTCGATAGAGAAGCAAAACGTCTTTCAGGAAAAACAAAGAAAGTCCGGTTGCCTCTTGAAAAAAATCACCTTTGGGACGGAAAAATGATAAGAGTTTCATCCCGGCAGTGATCTGAAGCTGACAGGTTTAATGGGGGCCATTCACACACACCTGCTGTCGTCTAGCAGTTCCCGTGAAATAACCACTCACCTGAATATAACGCAACTTTTTCTGAATGATGAGAGGACCACCAGAATCACCTGCAAGGCAAAAGGAATAGAATAGAATATAGCTTTGTTATGGTCTTACACCAGCAATAGATATCGCTATTTACAATATATTAAAAAAAAAAAAGTACTGATACATTATAATACATTAATAGTGGATAAAAACATCCCTGTTAAGAAAATACATGTTCTCCAACAGTTAGGGTCACTCCCCTAGTTTATATGAGTTGGAGAGCCAATAAGTATGTGTGTAAATATCATTTTCCAAAGATTGTTCTATCTCCAAAAATTGGCACAAATTGACAGCTATAATTCTGTGACCAATTTTTTTTTTCTTGTAGACATTGCAGCAACACAGAATTTTGCCACTGCACCCCTACATAAAAATTGTCTGCCCTCCCTGGCAATCTCTTTAGTAAGGGGAGAATATACAATGACCTATAAACTCTGTATAACTCACAGTACACTAAACGGGAGATACCTTCAACTTCTCCTTTACCACATAGACATACCTGTTCTGCTATTGGTGAGGCAAAAGGAAAAGGGATTTAATCAAGGGACTGAGTTGGGTATGGGGAGATCAAATCTATATAACGCACAGGAATCCAACTATGGGAAAAATTCAGACAGGCCTCAACATGTATCCAAATGAGTGGCATGGTGGCCTAGAGGTGGAGCTCTCGCCTCACAATCAAGAAGCTGTGAGTTCGATCCTAGGTAGAGGCAGGCATTTCTCTCTCTCTGGGCACAATGAGAATATTTCTGCTGAACAAAACTCCGCATTGGCGACAGGGAGGGCATCTGGCCAGTAAACACTCTGCTAGCGCCATTCAGTTGCCCAGACTCCACCCCACAAGGGATTATGGGTTCGTTAAAAGGAGATGTTGATCAACATGTATCCAAATGTAGACGTGATTCAGTGATGTAAAAACTAAGCGGTAGTTAGAAGCAATCTCCTTTTGTTTTTTTCCACCCTTATTACATTCTTGGCAGAAAGCCTAGACTTCCTGTCTCCAGAGCTTTGGGGGCTTGGCTTTCTTAAAGGGGAAGGGTTGTTTTAAGATTTTTACACTGCTGTTGGGAGAAAATACTTCTCTGGACAATCAGCACTTTGAAGAAATAATTGAACAATGAAGCAAAGCTTTTAGTGGATGATTTCCTTAGGATATTTTGTGAGGTGAGTGAGACCACTCCTTTAAGTGGTGCAAATGGATCTAAGGATTGCTTTTTCTGGAGAGCTTAAATGACCTCTCTGCTAAAGGGTTTCACTTTATGAGCAAGAGTTGGCTGGTTGATAGTTATCACTGCATTTTAACTGTTTTCATTCCTCAAGGTGATCTGGCACCCTGCCTGATTTGTAACTCTGGCTTGCAGGTATTTTTAGGGCAGCTTTTTGCAAGCGAAGAAGCTTTTTGTATTTTTGTAGAGGTAATCCTTGACTTACAACAGTTCATTTAGTGACCATTCAAAGTTACAATGGCACTGAAAAAAGTGACTTATGACCATTTTTCACACTTATGACCGTTGCAGCATCCCCACTGTCATGAGAGGCCAGGTGAGGAGAAGCGTCCCTTGACGTGAGTAATGTCGAGTTGGCCACGCCCACCCAGTCACATGACCACCAAGCCACACCCACCAACTAAGCCATGCCCACAGAACCAGTTGTTAAAAAAACTGAATCCCACCCCTGAGTTGAAGTCTACAGAAGTCTTTAACCACTGAGCCATCATGCCCCTGTTTTCCAAAGTCTAGGGGGTGTTGTTATATTAATGCTGTTGCATTTACACTGAAAGACCCTGAAATATAGTACTTCCTGCCTGAGCAGGGAGCTGGACTAGAGGATCTCCAAAGTCCTTTTCAATTCTGTTAATCTCTCTATATAAAAGCGAAATACCATCACGCATCATCACAAAATCTCCAGAACCATAAAGCCTACAAACTTGAAATTTGGCATGTATGTTCCTCTTGGCTTCTAGGTGCTCACTAAGAAAGGATTTTTTCAAAATGACCATCAGAGCATTAGTATTTCATATATTATTATTATTAACACGCTCTGATGCTAAGGAGTTCTACTCTCCCTCCCCACCTGAAAAGAAATCTCTTCCAAATGCAAAACACAAGCAGAGGAGTTTCAGCTTCAGTTTTATTTTCATAGCAGCAACCAGCTTTAGTACAGAACAGTTCAGCTAAGCCACACCCAGGCTCCTTGCTGTCTCCTTCTTGCTCACATAGTAAATACTGCTTCAGTTTCCAAACAGCCCTCAACTCTCTCACACACTGACAGGATGCTGGCCAGATGAATACCAATGGATGCTGGTAGGCAGAGGCACAATTTCCCTCCCCAAAAACTAAGCCCTATCCAGGGGTGGGATTCAAAAATTTTAACAACTGGTTCTATGGGCGTGGCTTAGTTGGTGGGCCTGGCTTGGTGGTCATGTGACTGGCTGGGTGTGGCCAACTCAATATCACTCACATCGAGGCACGCATCTCCTCACCTGGCCTCTCATGACTGTGGGGATGCTGCAACAGTCTTAAGTGTGAAAAATGGTCATAAGTCACTTTTTTCAGTGCCATTGTAACTTTGAATGGTCACTCCACACAAGCAAAGTACCAGCAAAGGAGGGTAAAATAACTCCAGAGAAGTTCCTGAGACAGGAAGTCTAGTCCTGCCAAGAATGTATAAGGTTAACGGAGAGACAGTTTCTGTAGGCAACACCAGAATGTTTCCTTCCTGCCTTCCTTACAGGATTAGGCCAGTAATTTCTTCTAACAACCAGTTCTCCGAACTGCTTAGAATGTTAACAACCGGTTCTAGCGAATAGGTGCAAACTGGTAGAATCCCACCCCTGGCCCGATCACATAGTTTCGTAGCCAAGCACAGGTATAGAGCTAGTTCTGTTATACGGTATGTTCAGAATGAAATATATTAATACCTGTTGTTGTGTTTATGTGAATGTTACTGTTGAAAAGTCCAATTTTCTGTTCCCAGGTGTCTCTCCATTATAACTAGGGTCCAGAGCCAAAAGGAACAGAAGGACATTTTCTTAGATCCTTGCAAACATGCGATCTCCTTGCCTTTATATTCTTAAATATCGTTAATACATCATTCCCTTTCTTCCTGCAAATGCTGATCTACTGTGACCTGGAAGATCAGTTGCCATGAAGCTTTGGAGCTAACTTGGTTCAGAGAGGCCTTAAAGGGTTAGGAAACCAGGAAACAACAGAGAGTACCATTATTCAGCTCACCTTTACATGTATTGGGGTCCAGTACAGGGTCCTGCCCCCCTGTGCATAGAAAGTTATCAGTCACTACGTCTTTAATATTGGTGACATTTTTGTAGAATTTGGCATTCCGAGCATCTTGTTCACAGGCCATTTTCTGGAAATAGAAAATGGAAATAGAGAAAATTGGACATATCACTAAAGATGGTCATGAAGAGACGTTGCATCGTCATTACATTTAGCCATAGTTCATTGAAGTGGGGATTGTTTGAATGCAGTCTTTAATAAGTCCCAGTTTAGGGTAAGTCTCCACTCCTGACATCAGTGCAGCCATCTTTGTCTCTTCTTTCCTGTTTTCAAGAGATGTTGCAAGCTGCCCCACATTCTCTATTCAGCTCATCCAAATAACCGTTACCGTGTTTTCCCCCCAAATAAGACTCTGTCTTACAATTTTTTGCCACCCAAAAAAGGCACCAGGTCTTATTTTCGAGGATGTCATCCATGACTCACTTGCGCACTTCACCCCCAGCCTCCTTTTTGCTATTAGAGGCCTTCAGGAACTTATTCTTCTGCGGCTGGCAAGGCTTTCCTGAAGGCCTTTGCAGTCGATAACAGAGCTTCAGATCGATCTGGAGCTTTGTTATTAGCTCCAGAGGCCTTCAGGAAGAAATGGGCTGGCAAGGCTGGTGTCGGCGTGCGCAAGGCCTGGCTACAACTGTCCAAAGGTAAGTAGTAGGGCAGCTTCACCCCCTCATCCCCTCCCTAACTTAATTTTTATCCGTCCACTCTGGAGTGGGCGGGATCTTAATTAGGGCTTATTTTGGGGGGTAGGAATTATATTGGGCGCACATGTAAAAAATCAAGCTAGGGCTTATTTTCGAAGTAGGTCATATTTTCAGGGAAACAGGGTAATATGCCGGAGTGACAGCTACATGAAAATCCTGATCCGTCAAAGCCTAATTTTCAGCTCTGAAGAATTTGGAGAAATTACAAAAGGATGTTCTATAACTCAGCCCATTTGGGACAGATTTACCATTTTAGTTAGAATTCGGTTTATACTTTTTTCTTTCTTTCTTGGCCAAGTCAAATTAGTGTGTCTATTAGGAATAGCAGCGGTGGTGGGGAACCCTCACTACTTAGCAAAGTGGTATAATCCAACAAAAGGAGTCTCAAGAAAAGAGATGTAAAAAAAAAAGGGGTCGGCTCTCATCACAACACTGTGATTGTCGTTTTGACTTTTTTGATTCCCTTCCCAGCAAATAGTTATCCTCAGATGAAGATAAAATCTTCATCATTATTTGACCCCTGGCTGCAGGTACCCCTTGAAGGGAATATGTTTTTTTCCCCCTATAAGAGAGTTTGCCCATAAAAATATAGACATCCTCTAAAACAGTGGCCCCCAACCTTTTTTGTGCCGCGGCCCGGTACCGGCATCACAAAATGATCCGCGGCCCGGTACCGGCATCAGCACGCATGACAAGCAAGGCGAGCCGAGCGACCGGCCAGCCAGCCGTCCCCCGCTTCTCCCCGCCACCTTCAACTCCTCCTTTGTACCTTTGTCGATGGGCTTCACTTTGGGACGGCTTTGGGACGGTCGCTCGGCTTGCCTTGCCTTGGGTGCTGAAAGAATCCTCACGCCTTAGTTTCGTTCGAAGCCGTCCCCCCCCTTCGATGAAACTAAGGCGCGAGGATTCCTTCAGGACGCAAACGCCGCTTTCCAACCGGAAAAGCTCACCCGGAAGCACTTTCTCGTCAAACAAGATGGCGGCGCCCAGCAAACTGGCAGCCCGGTAGGAAATGTTCCACAGACCGGGACCGGTACGCGGCCCGGTGGTTGGGGACCCCTGCTCTAAAACAGTGGTTGCCAACCAGTGGGCCGGGGGCCATTGATGGTCCGCAACAAAATTTTGGTGGTCCACAGAGAAATGTCACCCCCAAAGCAATTAATCCAGGTTGCACAGGAACACAAGGCTGCAATGCCCACATGGCCCGTGGCTTGAATCACTTGCATTGAGAACAACATGAGGTAGTGAGGGGAGGGGAGAAAGGGCGGAGGGGGTGAACTTGCCCCACTTCTTTCCGCTTCTTTCTTCTTCTGCCTTTTGGCTACACACAAGGAAAGCAGCAAAAGTCTTTCTTTCTCTCCCCCAAACTCCACCAGAAATGAGTCTTTGGGACCCTGCAAGGCATGCTGCTCCAAGAGGCTGTGCCAGCAAAGACTCATTTCTGGCAGAGTTTGGGGGAGAGAAAGAAAGACTTCTGCTGCTTCTGCTGCTTTCCTTGCATGAAGCCAAAAGTCTCTCTCTCTCTCTCCTCCTGAGAACGGAGCTGGAGATGGTATCCTGCGATCCCAAATAAAGATCGATCGATCGGTAGGAAAATGGGGCGGGGAACTTTCCTGCAGACATTTTTTTTATTTTTCCAGGGTCTGCTGCTGCTTTCTACAGGGTGATTAAAAACATCAGCAAGCCACTGTCAGTCATATTAGTGGTCCACGGGATTTAAAATTATGAGTTTGGTGGTCCCTGAGGTCCAAAAGGTTGGTGATCCCTGCTCTAAAATCAAGGTCAGGATTTTTTCTTTCTTCAGAACTCTTTTATCTATATACAAGATTCAATCACCATTGAAACTGATACAATAATCCAAGGTAGACCCTGGAAATAGATGTTATCTTAACTTGATAATTATTTAATTCCAGAAACACGCTGGAAGACATTTATTTGAGATTTTATTCAGGAGTGTGTGTGTGTGTGTGTGTGTGTGTGTGTGTGTGTGTAAATATGCCCTTGCTATTAGCTGCCAGGGTCATGTATGTAAAACAAAGTCGTATAAATTCTCTACATTTATTATTAATTTAATGTATTCAATTGAGGCATTGGCTGACTCCAAAGAAAAGGAAGGAAGGAAGGAAGGAAGGAAGGAAGGAAGGAAGGAAGGAAGGAAGGAAGGAAGGGAAAGAGAGAAAGAAAGAAAGAAAGAAAGAAAGAAAGAAAGAAAGAAAGAAAGAAAGAAAGAAAGAAAGAAAGAAAGAAAGAAAGAAAGGGGAAGGAAGAAAGAAAAAGGAGGGAAGAAGGAAGGAAAAGAAGGAAGGAAGGAAGGAAGGAAAAGATCTAATATATTGGAGTCTCAGGTTGTAGATTTGACTTAAGAAAGCCTCACTCCACCTAATCTTGTTAGGCTTTCTTGCTCAAAGATCTTACCTTTTCACCGTTCTTGACTTGAACATGTCTGCGAATTAGCCCAGTGGTTTCTTGACCTTTGAACTTACAGTCGCTTACAAAAAAAGAACGAATGTTTCCCACAGGTAGCAGCTCATTCTCTGTTAAAGCAAACAATACAAAAAGAGCTTTAGTGAAGGAAGAAGAACGTCAAATGAGGAGAATAAAGGAATAGCGAAGATGCTGGAAGAATCAGCAATCCCATAGACCAGTGATGGCCACTGTTTCAAGCAAGTTTGCCTCAAGTGCAATTCATTCATGTACGAGATCGAATCAATCCAGGATACAGCGCAACATGTCCCCATTTATCTGTACTTATTTCCTTTGTTCAGGTTTATGTTCGTACCTATACTTGTTTTTTTTTTTTGTACATGTTTGACAAACAAGCAAATAAATAAATAAATGTTGCAAGAGGGGGTGCTAAGAAATTCAGAGAAGAGCCATCAAGGAATTCTGGGAGTTGAAGTCCACAAAACTTGCCAAGTCTGAGAAATGTTACTTTGGGAGATTTGGTGCCTAGGGAACCTAGTGTCCTTCCGTCCCATGTTGGTTACTTTTAAAACACAAACATACCATGGTCTTGGCACGTGGTTGTTGCAAGGGATTTCCTCAGAGCTCGGGTTGTTCCTTGTGTACATGGTAAACAAATTGGCCTGTTTGGGGAGAACACAGAACATAGAATAATGGAAGGGACCCCGGGGGTCATTTAGTCCAACCCTCTGCTTGAGCAGAAGACCCTATATCAGGGGTCCCCAACCCCCAGTCCATGGACCGGCACTGGTCCGCAGCATGCCAACAACTGGACCATGCTAACAAGTGAAGCCCCATCTGTAGGATGCAGGCAGCACACAAAACCACACCCCCTCCAGTCTGTGAAAAAACCTTTCTCCACAGAAGTGTCCTTGGTGCCCAGAGGTGGGTATTCAGCAGGTTCTGACCAGTTCTGGAGAACCGTTAGCGGAAATTTTGAGTAGTTCGGAGAACCGGCAAATGCCACCTCTGACTGGCCCCGCCCCCATCTATTCTCTGCCTCCCGAGTCCCAGCTGATTGGCTGGGTCTTCTTTTGTTGCCCTGCACGGGAGAACGGAGCTGGAAAGCAGGTTAGTGGGGTCGTGAGGGAATGGGGATTTTGCAGTAACCTTCCCCTGCCACT